CTGTTATGTTAATTCCGATTAATTTCCCTGAAGAAGTTCGGACCAGATTGCCAACAAACGTTGGAATTATTCATTTCAATTTCACTGAGATTTTACAAATATAATTTTATAAATGTCTTTTTCAAACTAGGCGCCCAATTATTTTGCAACTATCCGGTCAAATCTTGATCACAGTTCATATGAATTCCTCTAGATTGTCTACATTGAATTTATACTACAATTTTGCATCTTAACCGCGATGACTAGTGTTTTTCTGCAATGAGTAATCAAATCACAAAATATCTCATTTTCTTTTTGAAGATTTGATGATACTTGATTGGTGCCGATTATATTTCTGAACTATATCACGATGTTTATATTCGACAATGACATTCTGAGTCAACATATCGTGGAGGATTTTGAGTACACAAACGAAATGAATTTGAATCCCACATACTTCATATTGTTCTTTTTTCCTGATTTACAAAAATGTTCAATCAGACTTTTGCCATTGTAGGAAGGACACCTGAACGCGTTCGTTTAGGGAGTAGATTCCTGGTTTAGCCAACATTACTGCAGCAGCTTCAGCTATACTCAGTTTATATGCTCGAATTGTGAGTGATAATAACTTGGTATCATACTCCTAAATTAGGGTCAATACGGTATCTTATATCTACCAAGCATGATAAATGTGAAATCTTTATGCGTCTGGCTTTATGCTTTCTAGAAAAAGCTGTTGTGTCTATTCCAATCCACAGATGAACCAGCCTAATTACACCAGAATAATGTTTTGCATGGTGTTTCTTTGTCTGGAACGAATTCACCGGACAACGTGTCATCTTACTAGCGATTCACACTTTTGCCTGTAGTGAGTAATCATTGAATATCTAAGTATTTATTTTGTGTTGATTGTATCTATGAAATATATATATATATATCAATTATTTGCATTTCACAACGACAGGCTAAATTAATAAATTGTAGATTTAGTGCGTTTGTCGAAGGGTTACAGCATGTGGATGCAATGAAGTTGAAATCAATTCATTTCACAATGTAGATTATTGATGCATGTTTAGAACTTTGACACTGTGGTAGCAATACATTGTGCTTAAAACGTCATCCAGCTATAATTACTGTTATTCTCGATTTACAAAGGAATCTAATTATACAGAATTATGAAAACTAAGTGACTCTTATTGTTTCGAAATTAATTCTTGATTAATTTCATGCGAACAAAGTACTTTTCACTTTATAAAATCATGATATTCTTACACTCAATTTTTTTTCAAGCATCAAATTAAGTTTGATAACAAGTGTGTTTGAAAAATTACGCTGAAACATTGTTACTTGTTCACGCTTACGTGTGTGAATTTAAGCATCTCACGCCATTCTATTATGGTACCATGAGATCAAACACTTTGCGATCTTAATGATTTTGTTTCCAGAGTGAACTGTGGTGACATTTCACCTCCTGAAATCGTATGAATTTCAAATTGTATCTAACATGTCAGTAGTTGGTCTAAGTGGCTAGTTGTGTGGTTTGAAGTGAATCGGCTCTTAAATCTCTCTGATCTGAGTCAAACAGGGTATACTGATGATGAGCTTAGCCGAAGACGCACGAAATGACCCTCCGATCTTCAAATCACTTCAGTTCGACTAGCCATCAATCAATACTGGTTCATGTTGATAGTATCACACCACTCATATTAAACAATCAGTATTCTGCTACGCCATTCATTTCTACTAGAATGAAGTTGTGAAAAATAAAATCACTGCAAAATCCGGTGATCATGCAGCTCTACTTGAATTTACCTCAAACACGAGGTGCCTATTTGGTATTTATTACCGGTCAAAATTCAAAGAAAGACAGGAACACTTTTATCCTTTGAATTCCTCTCATCTTGAAATATTTCTGCATTGATCGCAGATTCATTCTGATGACTTGTACGATAATATTAACTAATAACCACACTTGGAGCACAGATTATTGCCACTCATAATCATACCAAATCACTCACCCAACTGTTTGCTTCATTTATCTACATGAGTAATACTGATAAGACATTTGAATAAAGTCAACATACGATAATGTACATTCTGAAATAATATTGACGTTATCAATCAAATATAATCAGAATGGAAATAAGATGTTTTTTACAGCAAAAACAAGTAACTTGCTAGAATGTTATGATGCACCTGAATTGAAATAGAATTTGAAGACTATTTATTATCCTCCTCTGAATTGACTGACTGGTGGTAATAATGTCATCCCTATCTCTGGTATTGCCGTTGAGTCACTTCTGTTGTGTATGTTGGGTGTAGGCTCGATGATTCAGTAATCAGTAATCAAACTCTGTCTCTCTTCACCTCTCTAAATTACTTTTTAGAATTTTGACACTGACCCACACATCCAGTTGTGTAATTGTGTGTTAATCCACGGGTCACCGGGTCAACCATTGTAATCTTACCTCGATTCTTGTGTTCTAATAATCTGACTACTCCTGATACACTACTAGTTTGACTGACCTATGTAGTTGACCTAACTCACAGTCATTGCAAGGTATTTTGTAATAATATTGTTTAATTGGGTCCACCGGGTTCAGTCCAACCGGAGAAATAATAAATAATCTTAAAAGGTATTTCAATTCATGTACACCATAACATTCTAACAAGTTACTTATTTTGACTACTAAAACACTCGTCTTATTTCCCATCTGATTGTATTTGATCAATAACACTCATATAATTATTTCTGAATGTACATTATCACATATTAATTTTATTCAAATATCTAATCAATTCCACTCATGTATATAAATGAAGCAAACAGTTGTGTGAGTGACTTGATATGATTATGAGCAATATAAGTTGTGCTCGAAACGTGGTCATCAGTTAATATTACTGTTTAACACTGTGTGATTTATCAAAATAAAGTTTTATCTATACTGAAGTTATACTCTACCACAGTGCCAAAGTTTCCAGTTGGTTCAGTTTTAGTAAGAATTTTGTCAAAAAGATGAGTTCACTCTTTCCTAAGATGCTTCGAAATTGTGATCACGTTTCATGAATGCTACAGTTAAAAAAGGAGGGGAATAATCGATACACCAGCTTCAGCAAACTGTCCGGCATTCAGCAAAATGTTCTTATCACCCTAGGAATGCTCTGCGCTAGTGAACTGTAGTCTTCTCAAAAAGTATCTTTGACAACAACAAACATTGCCACAATTCGTCAACACTGAGCGTAAAATAACCTCTTCAGAATTTTCAGAAGAAACCACAACAAACTAGACTCAAATTTCATTCATTTTCCGGTTCAAAATTGCCATATAATCTGTGTATTGAGGAATTGAAATGGCGTTTCGATTCCATATCTTGAATGAATATCTTCAGTGTGACTTGAAGAAAAGAAGAAGTTGTTCCTATGACATATAGCTTTGCTCCAGACATATTCAGAATGATTGAAGACGGAGAGTGTGGATATTTCTTCAAGAAAACGACATGGAACATCTATTTATCTAATGACATATAGGGAATATAGGTGAATAGAAAGAGATACTTTTGAAATATGGGAAAAAAGTCGTCTGAGAGGAGTGTCTGCGTTTTGTCTCCAGTTAAAATACACCTGTTGCATTCAGTCAGCATGGAAATAACGCTTTGATATAAACAGAACAGGAAATGCGATGACATCGGAAAAGTGCTTACCTCCTCAGATATCACACAGCAGATGTATATTGGGCTAAATATATCTGTGCTGTTATGAATCAAATGGTAGGTTTATAGATTTTCTACTTAACAATATGCAGATATCAGGGAGTTCTTCTGTATCCGAGCACTTATCAACTTCTTTCAGAATTCTTCTTCCATTCATGGTTACTCGCAGTTCTTGTATGTCTCATGTCTATATCTAACTGAATTTCCTTCTTCGTAACCTCTTCTTCTAAAGGAAGAGCGAGGTGATTATTAAGTTATGCGTCACAGGTGAATCACACACTCGCTGTGTCATGAACGATATCAGTTTACGTGAGACTGAAATCACTTCAATTTAGAGTCTGGTGAATGGCAATGGAAAACACAAGTTTCAAATTCCAGTGACCTACAAATGGCCATACAACATGAAGGAAAGCATTACTGTTTGTCAACATCACATGAATTGTTAGTGTTCCTCAAGTTTCTTACAAGCAACCATTCCTACAAACTAACAACCAGGGATGTTGAGTAGATGAAACTTTTGTTCTAGAATGTCAATTTTTATACAGCAGCTGAAAATCACAAGAGTGACTTCATTTTCAATAAAATAATGTTCACTCAGAAATATGAGGAGTTGTGTCGAATAATTTCTATGATGTGCGTCCTCTATTCAGCTGTAGAATGCTCGCCAACCACTAATATTGACTAGACTTTGATTCGTAATAAAAATGAGCACCACTGGTTTTGAAAGTTCAAAGCTGAAGCTTGAAGCTCTATGTTTCACTAGGAACTTCAAGGAACAGAAAGAGTTTCACGGTAATTGAATGCCATTCAAAGTTGAGAATACATGATCCCATGATACAGTCACACCAGTTTTCAATGTTTACCTCGAGCAGATCCATTCGCTTTGGCGTAAGTCATCATCTCACGTGCAATACGAAGATGCTCACTGACTAATCAATAGTCAGGACAATCAAAAAGGCGAAGACAACACTTCGCCATCGACACTTACAACACTGTAATCTTAAATGTCTGAAATATTCAATTTCCATCGAATGAACACTGTCATTTCTTGAAGTGTATATTACTGTAGCGTCTTTCACACTAAGTCGGTTTTATAGTAACTAGCATCTATTATGGATAGACATCCTCAGAATATTTTCAATAATTTATTTGTGACGATTTCATCGACATCGATGAAAGCTTGACTAGTCGTAGGTCATTTGCTGTGGAATGTTATTGTGATTAACGGATTGATAAGCATGTGGAACTTGTGTGCTAAGCAATTTCACTTATACTGAATGCAGTGAATAAAGGCGACATTAAAGACGTTCACTCATTTATTGCTTCAACCACGATTACAATAAGAGGAATATTAACAATCAGATAGTCAGATGACGTACAAAAGAGAGTATTGTTCACAATTTGTATCATAATTATTGGTAAAATGTCTCGTTTGACGTGCATTAATTAAGCTTGGTGATGATTGATATGGTCAGATATAGTAGAGATACCAATAACCAGGTAATTAGAGCCAGTCTAACAGGTAGAAAATAATTTGACAGCTTATCCTCACAAAGTTTTAAACTTTGTCCAGAAAGACATAGAGCCTATGATAAGAAAATAAAATGAAATAGAGTCACACAATGAAGTTTTGTGTATGATGGATGAGATTTGTAGCTCAGGTGGATGGTTTCAATGTGGTTGTGATCTCTGAGCTCAATGGACAAATCTAAAAGCTCACATGAAAATGAAGTGTGCACTGAAGATTTTGCATAGCAGAGCAATAAAGACTTCGAAAATAAACCATCTATCTCAAAGAAAAAACTACTACGAAAAAGTGATGGTTTATGTCAGCATATCAGTTAGAGAAGAACTGAACACCTGTACTGTGTACTGGACAACTGTATTGTCATAATTTGAGACTAATGTGTAGTACGCAATCACTGAGGTTCGAAGTCAGGATGTTATAGGTAACAGGGTGAGCTCACAGACCATCCAGCCACTGTGACTCAATTCAAATGCTCATAGATGCTGCTAATTCATGATTGTAGCGCGACAAACAGACAATGTCATCGACAAGTATTTTTATCGATGCTCCCCATGTGGACCCTACTGGTCATGACTCATCGCCAGAACTCCAGGCAACGTCGTCCTGTAGCTAGTTACCAGTGTGCATCAGATTAATTCTCATGTGCCTGAACCTCGACCAAATTGATATCAGTTTGGATTCCATTGTAAACCAGGAAGTACTGCACAGCTATGTCGTTCCAATGTAAGACAGACAGGTACTACTCACCCACAGCAGCTCGAAATCATGACCTTCCGATGTTCACTTCAAGACATCATCACATTGTAAAATTGCATCTTTCAATTCGTTGTAACACACGTTTATTTGATCCTGTACAGTGCTGAATTGATGAGATTCGAATAAATTTTAGTAGGGAAGATGGTAAATAAACCATGTGCAGAGGAAAAATAATATCCTAAAAACATCAATATGACCAACACTTTGGTGTTTTGTGGCGACTCTCTTACAATTAAGTAGTCAGCGTCTTCTAGCAAATGCCCAGTACTCCAGATTGTTTAATCGTTCACCAAAATGAGCAATTTCTCAACTAACATAGAGATAACACCGTGAAAAAGATTACCCTATTTCTAGTCAGTGTAGGTGGAACTTGTATGTGAATGAATAAATGCTTTCTATGCGAATATCAACCACTAATCAATAAGCATTCATACAACGTCATGCGTTTTGATAATAAATTATTGACGCTGGGAATAAATGTCTTCACATTTTCATCTTGAATAAACAAACAGCATATTCTTCAGATGAAATAAGTTAATTTTGAATGAAATAATTTTGTAAATTTATACGAGTTGATCATGGATTGATATCCGTTACAGAACCACTGAAAACCAGGGAGTACTTGAGAGCTATTTAATCCTAGTTTTGGTGCGTACTGCTGTTCAGAACTCCCTGGTTTTGAATAGTTCTCTAACTGACATCAATCCGTGATCAACTAGTAAGAACAAATCTAATCTTCACAGACCAGCTATTGAAAATGTTTTAAATGTTAACAAATTTTACAATCTTGCTTACCAAAAGTAGGCCAAGACCCAAAAGTACTCCGAAAACTGTATTTGCAGCGTCCTGTAAGTAGAAGAAATAATGGGAAGAGCATGGTGAACTAATGACTGATGGAACAATAGTACACAATATTTCAACATGTCGACAGGAATCGCCAAAATATTCTGGTTTGCGTTGGGTGTCGTTTCACTAAACGTGGAATCAGGAATCAACAAGTATTCCTATTGATTCCCTTTCAGTAACCTAAGATCGTTAGTTCAAAAACTATTTCTAGAGGGAGTAGTCTACATGATGATTCTTGCCACTTGTTGCCTAGTGAAAATCTAGGAAGAGTGATGATATGTTGGCTACAGCAATGGATTCTCGAGGGTGTAACTCGTTACTAACATGGTTGCACAGGTTTAATCAAGTACCATTTCAAAATTATATCTGTAAGACATGAAACGTATTTCAAAGCATTGACATTAATTCGGAAGATGACATCATTCAATCATCAAAACGATTCTTACTCGAGAGTGAAGATAGTATAACACGAAAAACAAAAGCGCACTGAGAAGAAGAAATCCAGATATGATATAGTTCATAACATAGAATCCTTTCTGATTGAAACGCCGCATTTTATATCCCACTATCAGGCATATTACAGTCAGCAGTATAGTCAAGAACCATGATATAAGACTCCGGAGTTCAACATTCGATGTTGCAACAGCGAGACCACAAGATGAAGTTAATACCTGAAATATGCAAACAATATATTGAATTCAGGTGATCAGTATTAAGATGCAATCACAGATAACATATCTCGGAGAACTTGCTTGTAATTTCATATGTAGTCACGTTCAGTGAAGCGGAATTTGTAGGTAAGGCCGTAACCGTCAGATTGCGCAGATCAAACGAATTAGGGAACACCAGTTGGAGAAACAAAAGACTTAACAAATTCTGAATAGTAGAACCTGCGAACCTGTATAATACACTTCTTTCTTCCGTAGAAAGTTAAACATGGCATTCTGGAGGTTGTTAAGTGTTGCAGCATGTTCTCATTTCTCATTGTACATAAGATCTTTCAGATATTGTTGGATGGAACAATTAACAATAATAATAATCTGCTTTATTCCAAAAACAGTACTAATATTGAAGCATGGAATTGTCAGCATTTGTTACAATATTACATCTAACTCAATCGAAATATTAATAGAAGTAACCACAGGAATTTGTAAACATATACTGTAGGAATAAATTCAAGACTTAGCAAAGTACAAAATGAGAGTAATATCTATTCTGATAATGGGAAGCTGTTCATCCTAGTACAGCCTAGCTGGGAGTTAACAGCATTGAAACCGTTAGATCGTCCGTCTACTTAACACTCACTCACCAATTTACACCGACACTAATTTTGTTTACGTTCCTTTTGAAGTATCATACATGCTGTATGCCACAATATCTTGAAAAGCATTGACTTACGCACATTTTGTAACACTGTATCGAATAATTGATCAATGCATCAAAAACTAATATACGAAAACTAGTATTGCGAACAATATTCAAAATATCAAATAAATACTGCAACAGTGATCACCGTAGTCAGTAGATCACCCGCCAAACCACTGATAGAAACTCAATATTTCATTAAAAATTATTACTTTTCTACGTATTTGATTCATGAACGGCAGCCAAGGAGTTGTAGAAGAAACAGCAGATCCATATGCACACAATTTTCGCCAAAATTGATACACTTACACTGAGCACAGCAAGCATATAGTTCAGTGGAAAGATGACCTCGAGTTTCGGAATCAAAATCAGCAGAACTGCGATGAATGCTCCAGTGAACCTGGAAAAGAATCAGCTAACTCTGTAAAAAAACAAATTTCAACGTAGGTTGGAGATGTAATTCACAGCATGTATTGACGACTTTATCATTAAATAAACCATCATGCACTTTCGTCAGTTCATCATCTCAATGACTTGAGATAGTATTTATGAGCATATACACAAAAGGAGAATCACAACAAAATTACATGAATAATGTCTAACTTTGAATAAACATATATATTTTAATCAGATTCATAGGAACTTACAGAAGAGCGATTGATGTATACATATAGGAATTAAACAGCTCATGGAGTTTCATTCTAAAACAAAGATGTGAGTACAAGTTGTGATTTCACATTCTTACATGTTCGCTACCAACAAGGTCATGGTCATGGTTGTTGCAATCATTATGCATAACCAGATGATGTACTTAATTGGATTGTTGAAACAAATAAGCATTCCTACCTTCACAATACATTTTCTTGCGGACTTTACTCCGATGGTGGTATTCTAGAAATGAGGAGTTATCAATATGTCTGCATGCAAACCTTTAATATCTCCAAAAGATTCACTTTCACATGTAATCAGGAGAGAAAACAATTTGATTAATTGTGAAGGGTAATTTGAAGGAATTAATCAGGACGCTTCTGTCTAAGTATAAACTTACTTGAATACATTATTCCTGAGACAAATTCAGAATGTATGTAACACATTTATCTGGAGAGTGTATCCACTTTCTATCACCCCTATTATTTTATGAACGACAATATATGTATACATACATACATAAATGGCTACACGTCGTAGCGTTTGTGGTTTTAGAACACACTAATCACATTTTAGAGTACCTGTCATCTACGCCAGTTTCATCATTTTGAATATCCAATCAAGAATGAATCAACATATTTGAGTACATGTTTGAATACGCGAATCAGCTGCATAGACCTTTTGTTGTGCACAGTAATTGAATCACAGGCTGGTGACATCATTCTACAAGAATTATTCATAGAAATAGAAAGGAACTATAGTGAGTATTATTGAACTAGAAGATGAACTGTTGTGGAACTCATGAAGACGATTTCGTTGTATTCATTCTATGCAGGAATAGAGAGAGGGAGAGAAAGCGAGAGGAATCAGATACACTTTATTATGACAGATTGTGTTTTAATCTCAGTTGATTTGTTCTCGGTTCAAAATGAGATCATGAATGTGTGATGGGAAAAAATAAAATGGAATTTTTAAGATAATAGGGAGAGGTTCGTCACATTGACTACACGTATTTAGTGACCCGCATCAAATACTACTTGAAGGCGTATAATTCATCTTTCCCAGATCGAATTATAGTTTAAGGTGCTATAGAAACAAATTCTTGGATATTAGCCTTATTATTATTATAATAAATTGATTGGCCTCTGAGGGCAACAAAAGGCTTCAGCAACTCACCTCCACTTTCTTCTCTTTTCTGTTGTCATCTTGAGGTGGATCCACGAGTGCGCATAATCTGTCATCTCCTAAACAAAGGATCTTCTGCATTTCATCCTCTGAATACCCACTCGTTGCTTGCCATTGGGGTTCCACTCGAACAATGAACTGCACTTGACGCGATGTCACTTAACAGCATCCTAACCGTATGGCCGACGCATCCAACTCCATTTTATTCCAGATATTTGTTTTAGCGATCAGCTGTTAGTTGGTTTGTTCATCACCAGAGTTTCTTGTTTCTAATTCTTTCTGACGAACTATTTGATCTTCAGTACGGAGCGGAGGCAGCTGTCGATGGGTATTACCTGCTAGGCTTCAAAATCTACCTTGTTATTTTGGTTTTTTAGACGTGTGCTGTTCTACACAGGCCCGAAAACCTGAGAAATACAAAGGCTTTACGCACATATACATTCAGCACGACAGGTTATTGAAATTCTCTCTCAATTACAGTAACCTTTTTATTTGCAAATGCTTATTGTCTTCGGATTCCTTTATTTATCAGAAGTAACAACTTAGGTGCTACGGCTGCTACTGATGAAAACAAACTTTGATCATATAGTGATTTGGTATCAAAGGGATGAACGCACTCAAGAGGTTTCTTGCACCGACACGAATATATGAATACGAATGCGCTGCAGGGATGAAGTTTGCTTATTTTTGTTGGGACGAAAGAAATCTAGGAGGTTTCCGGAATAGTCATATTTGCAGCTGGAGTAGAATTTACTTGATTTACTCAACAATGGAAGCAAGAAGAAGAACTAGAGAGAACAGGAAATTCTTCTTCAGATTGCTCACGAATTCGAATCCACTGATTGCATCAACAAATAGCTCAGGTAGAGGCAAATGCAAAATTAAAGCAGCAAGTATGTTGTGGTACAAATATCCAACATGGGATGATAATAGTCAGCGAGTCAGTCTGGATTATCATTTAAATCCATATGATGAAATGCTTATGGTCAATTAAAATATGAGACAGAATAAAGCAAATAGTTGAGCGGTATGTTTGTGTATTTAAACCCAAGAAATTGTAATGGTTTTAAGCATAGGTGTGTTTAGTGTTGTGTGAGACAATATGAATGCTGCAGAAAAGTGAATCAACAAATGAGATATGTGAAGCGGTAGTTCAAAGGTGATAAATACAACGAAAAATAATAATGACAAAATAATAACGATCTTTTCTTGTGTAAACACAAAATCTTTGTTAGTGAACGATTATCAGGTGGGGGAATTAAGAGTAAGGAGACAGAAATTTGAAGTGTAATGGAGGATTCGTTGATTGTACTGTAGGCCAAAGTTATTTCACAAAGTTCTTCTGAATTCAGAGACCAAGAATGGACTAATGGAAACATAGTAGATAACTGCGAACTACAGCTCTGATGTTTTTGAATGTCCAGCGTCTACCAGGTGGGCTAAAACCGCATGACTCATGCATTTTGTTGCCCCTGTTCTCATCCACAAAAGTACATGTCCGTGTGCGCTCATTGATAAAGCTGTGTGAATACAGACCATGTAACTAGCTGCACAGAGGAATTTGGACTCATAGATGTACAATGATGAGTTTAACATTTGAAATTTACCCTTCATTCCATTGTATCTACCATTATTCTAAAGAAATAGGATATAAATCTAACAAAACCACAAGTGTTCTTTAATGTTGACTCAACAGAATACGGGAAACCCTAATATGATGATTACGAGATATGACAAATATTCTGGACTATAAACTGTTATCTATTCTTGATAATGAAAGCAAATTCAGAAGATATTCAGTTATTGCGAGACACGGTGATAGTTAATCTAGTTAAACTTCTTGGCCTTAACGGTGTGTCAAAAATACATTAACTCAGTAATCCTCTACGTCCTATAGTGTCGATGTGTAGATCACCAACACACAAAATTGCTCAGTGGTTAGCGGAATTGATGGACTTCATCAAAAGACAAATCTGTAGGTATGTAATGGCAGATAGATTCGAACTGATTAATTACCTTGATGGTGTCAGTGTTATAAATAAAAATGCGTATTCTATTTAGGTGAAATTTTTATTCACTGATGTGGCCTTATTTAAAACAATTCACAATCTGTGTGATTACGCTTCTACACATAGTTTTCTAATCCCGTCTCCCCTAGCTTATCTAAAGTATTTATTACTTCTATGTACTAGTAATGTTTAGTTCACATTTTAAGGTAGTAGCATCCGTCAGATTGATGATGTTTCGATGGAAAGCTTGTTGAACCTCCTTATAGTAGATACCTGTACCGTCGTATATTAATCGAAAATATACGACTTTGTAGAAGATATATGACGTCGACATTGTAATCCTAATTGATAAGTCTTGTTCTACCACTTCACTATCAAAATCGAATGAATGAAGTTCAAAATGCCATATCACTTACATCTGTGGAGGAGAAAGACAATCGTTTATCTTTCCTAGATATATTGCTTAATCGATGGCCTGATGGAACTGTACACGATATATTTTTAGAAAAACTACCTGGAGAGGATAGAATCGTAATAAACGCAGCTTCTGTCCTGTTCGGAACAAAAGAGCCTTAGTAAGGTACCTATTCCTTAGTATCCAACGAAAATGAACAGAAGACATAGCTTGAAGAATAGGGAAGAAAACTAACGCAGACTCCAATTGATAGTAATTATCGAGACAAGTTCATATGGCGATATCAAGTGGTCAGAACACCAAGATTCATTCTCCAACTTGCCACCATGAAAGACGTTTATAGCCACCTACTTTAAGCGTGGTTGATCATAACACCTTGTTAATGCTGCAGCTCGAATGGCGTTTTATGTAGCTAAGATCCGAATAATCGAGAAGGTGAAGCCCCTGTATGCATCTAAGCCCGTAGAACATACGAAAATTAATGTCACATCCCAGTGTGAATGTCCATGTAGTCAGATATACATAGGAAGGACTCATCGATCTCTGCAAATAAGGGCTTCAGAGCCTATTCCTAAATGATTTCAGAAGTAAACGGAATCCCCAGAACCAATTGATGGTTAGAACAGGTGACTTATCTCCTCTACTGAGAAATATATTATAGAGACAGGATAGGAGTCGGTCTTTACACGACTTTTCAACCTATCTATAAAATGTAATTAGGGTACATCCTTAGGTTTGTGGAAGTCCTAGCAATTAGGACGTTTGAACCATTTTCAGGCGTTCAAAAACAGTTCTTCATCACAATAAACATTCCTTCATAAACTTTGTTTTGATATCATGGCAGATTTAAGTTTACCTCCCTTTTTGGTGTAGTGATCTTCATTGTAATTTTGACGTTCAATATGTCCTTTTGACTTGACCTAAGTTTATTTTCTCACCTCCTATCTTTTTATTACGTTCAAATATATATATATTCCTATGACAAGTCCATGTGTTATCAGATAGTTGGAAATATGTTGCACAAATACATTACACGATTCAGACAAATTACTTCTTATCAGTCTATCCAAGTTCATAAAGGGAACTGGTTGTTCCAAAATATTTTTGTTGCTTGGAATACGACAGCACATTGAAACATCGTATTTGAAAGAAAAATGGAAGAATCTAAAAAACCGTAGTGCATAATTCTTGATCAAATTCTATCATCCAGTCAACCCAGATAATGATTTTCGAACCATTGTCCGAATTAAGGCAAAATTCATTTCAAACTTCTAAATTCAACCGAAGTTCTAGGCTATCTGTGACATCGAGTACAAAAGATGTATGTCAACTCCTTTTTTCTGCACTGTGCTTGAAACAAAATAGGTACAAAAAACATTCGCATATTGTTCGTTTCGCTTCAATAATGTGTGTACTCATCCCTAATTATTGATATTCTTATGAAGATTGTTGAGGGTGTCACATTCAACTGTCTCTGTCAATAATGTGAATAAAAGAAATGGCATAACCCGCTCTGTCTTATCATTCAGCCAACAAATTAGCGTGAGTTTTAATGAATAACTGTTATTTTCTACAACGCGGATATTTAATAGTGACACTATCACTCAGAATATGTTTATCAGTACATCCGAATG